CACAACTTTGTACTCGAATACTCAACATGAAGCTAGATACATATTCCGTACGTAATAATTTCTCCATGTGAGATACCTCGAAAGCCATCTCCACAAGTTAGTTCTCTTCCTCTCCCCATCTGCTTTTCCTGTGTCCTCATACATACACAAAACAGCAGAAGCAGATTTCAACAAACAGTTCATTTTCAATCATATTATGGAATTCTCAGCAAAGTTTCTGATTTTTTTTCTTATTTATTTTACATATCCCACCCAAATCCTGCTTATCACATTAAAAATGCCACCATTTTATGAAAAACGTCATTTCATGCATGGGTTAGGTGGTATGTAGATAAAAATTGAAGTTTAGGTGTTGGATATGTAAATACATAAGAATTGAGTGGTATGCAGGTAAATCTTCCTTTTTTTCTGATTTTGAACGGGAAAATGAAAGCATATAAATCACCTCAACGGTCGAGTAAATTTAAATAAGTCAGGCTGGCAACTTCAGGCAGTTATCACAAGGACTGGGACCGAATTTGCAGCAATTCCTGTCAATAGACTCCCCAAAGTGCCCCAAAAGCATTCGTCTCCGGCACTCTGTCTGAAGCATTCACAAGCAATGAAAAGAATCAATATTTACATGCCACCCAATTCATATATATATATATATATATATATACATATCTAACACCTCTACTTTATACATTTATGCCACCCAAATATTTCATATTATATCAAAAATACCACCACTGTAACTTAAAAAAAAAAAGTGAAATACACCTTTTCATGCATAGGTAAGCTGGCATGGATGTAAAAATTGAAGTTTGTGTTAGATATGTAAATATATAGGAATTGAGTTGTATGTATGTAACTGTTCCAAGAATCAATACTGCAGTCAACCTCATTGAAAGGACATATATGTAAAAATTAAAGCATTGTTTTTATTATTTATTTTCAAAAATAAATTGGCATGCTTTAAAAACACCAATATCTAAAAGTTATTTTGAGTATTTTTAAAAGTAACTAAATAATTTACAAGATATCAAATATATTTTATCTAAGGTAAAAATGTATACAAAAAAAAATAAATAAATAAAATAAAAATACGGATAATATTAAATATTTGGGTGGCATCAAATATACTTTATCTCAGTATAAAAATGATCCCAAATATCCCCTTACTTTTAACCCAATTTCTCAGTTAATAAAGTACCCCAAAGAACATGTATAAAACAGTTTCCAGCCAACTCAAATCATATTTAATTGAGCTGCTTTGGACTCTAAACTGACAAAAATATGAGGTTGGGTGAATGCATGTTAGTCGAAAGTAAAATATATTCGAGTAACTTTTAACATTTATTTGGGGCGGCTGCAGTGCAATAACTAAAATTAAGAAAAAAAAATCGAAATGGTTGCAATGGTTTGATGAATCGTCACGACAGCCCTATTAATCTTTAAGAGTTAAAAAACTGATCTCTTTGTTCGTAACAGACCGAGAGAGAGCGAGAGAGAGACAAAGAATTGAAGAGGAGGCGTGTTAGCCTTGTTGAACAAGTTGAAGGTGGCCGCGTCGAAGAATAACTCACACATACGATTCTTGGTCAAGAAATAACGTACCAACGAGTGATCGGCAAACTCCCGAGCAGAATTTGCAAAATAAAGCTTGGGAGTGATCCATTTGGTGCTATAGTGTGTTGGAAGAACTTGTTGTGCTCGAAGGAGAAGAGGAGTGGAGGAGAGGGCTTATGTGCTTCCTGCGGGTTTCGACCTGCAGAGGAAATGACGTTACAACTTGCGGATAAGAGTCAAACATGTGTGTAGAGGAAGAGGAGGAAGAGTTCAAAGAAAAAAAAAAGAAGGGGAGCCTGATAAAGGGAGAAATTATTCCATACGGAGTACGTACACAACTCTGCGTGCAGACTCCAGTAATATACCGTCACGTGGAGGTTATTGTGGGGTTATTGACGTGAAACCACAGAGGTTAATGGGGAGTTATTGGAGGGGAGGGGGTTATTGTGGGGGTTAATGCATGGGTTATCGAAATGGAACCGCAGAGGTTATGGGGAGTTATTGTGGCATTATTGAAGTTAATGCACCAATAACCCCTCAATAACCCCCAAATAACTCTCCCGAATAACTTTCACAGTTCCGCTCCACTAACCTCCGCAGTTTCACTCAAATTTTTTTTAGGTGGGCCCGATATAACACACATGGTGGCATATTACTGAAGTTCGCACGTAGAGTTGTGTAAATACTCCGTAAGGAATCATTTCTCCAACGAAGGAGGAAGTTTTGTGCAGCCAGAAGAAGAGAGGAAGAAGCTCTCGTGCATATGGCTAGAATCCAAATCTTGTGTGCAAATGGTCAAATTATTTCATACGAAGTACGTACACAGCTCTACGTGCAGACTCCAAAATATACCACCATGTGTTATATCTGGCCAAAATAAAAAAAATTAAACTGAAACCATGGAGGTTATTTGGGAGGGTTATTGGGGCATTAACTTTAATAACGCCACAATAAACCCTCAAGAACCCCCCAATAACCCCTGATGACCTTTGTGGTTCCTCTTCAATAACCACCCAATAACCTTTGCGGTTTCATTTCAATAACCCCTGCATTAACCCCCGCAATAACCCCCCAACAACCCTCCAACAACCTCTGCGGTTTCACGTCAATAACCCCATAATAACCTCCATGTGGCGGCATTTTACTGGAGTCCGCACGCAAAGCTGCGTGCGTACTCTGTATGGAATAATTACTCGTGCAAGTGAGGGAAGATGAGAACTAGAGTGAGTGAGGGGCATTTGACCAAGATATTAACGGGTGAATTTTAATATTTAATTAAGTTATTTAATTTTATAAATATATA